GATAATTTTTTAAACAAATGTGAACAAAGTGTTTATATGGCCAAGTGTGAAATGGTAACATCTGGATGTATAAGATAAAAAGATCAGTTTTTGTAAAAAAAATTGTGCCAATAAGAATTCTGCAGCTATTTGAAAACATGTGAAGTGCTTTTGAAAGCACCCAAGTAATCCAGAATAAAGGCTTCATCATTATGTCCCTGAAATACGGTCTCTCAATTGAATGAATCCCCGTCCCTGATCATTTCTAGTGTCTAACCGTCTATGCCGGTATCTGATGATCATGTTGGAATTTACAGAGTAAGTCTTATATGCAAAAAAAAAGGGAAGCAACAACCTTCCCATACAGATATCCCTGCCTGTCTGTGTATATATATTTCTAAACTGCCCATCTTCCTCAAAGAGGGATTCTGGGCAGTGTACTATATCCAATACTGGATGTAGTTCAAAGAATGGGAGTTGCAAATTTCCAGAGCCCCAGTTTGTTTAATTTTTTTTAAGTATGTTCCCTTTTTTAAATATATGGGAAGAAGTTTTTCTGAGTTAATTGTTTCTTTCTATTTAAGGTTAGAAGAAAATACAGGAGAAAAAAATTGCAAGGTATTTTTTCATAATTTGGAAAGAAACATCTATATCTATAGTTAAGGAAGTGAAATAATTCTTTTGGTAGAAACTCAACTATGGAATGTTCCCATATAAATCTTTTCAGCAGCCAATTTTAAAATGCTGCTGCTGACTGCTCACAAATTTGGTTCAGGGTTTTCAGGGGTGAAACAGAAATAATGAAATAAGATCTACAGATTATTGGGAGCTAGACTGGGTGAACTAAAGAATTAAGTTAGTATTAGTGTGTTGATTCCCCTTTTTAGAAAATTGAAAAAAGAAAGCAATGGCTAGGGACAAGAAAAAGTTCCATTCTCAATTCTAACAGAGTGAGCTTTTGGAGGGTGGTATTAGGTTGTGAGATTATACGTACTTGAAGTTTAAAGAACCCTCCTTCCTCTCACACTATATAAGGATGTTTATCCACACCTGCTCAAGAGCTCAGATACCAAATTGAAGGCTGTACAATTTAACAAAGTACTTCTTTTCCTTTCCTTTCCCATCTTTTTCATTCCAGGATTAAAGTTCCTGTTTCAGTTACAAAAACATAGAATAGCCTGTTTTAGATCCACTTATATTAAGTAAATTTAATTAATTAATTTAAAGCATGTAGATCTCATACTTTATGGAGAAGGACATTTGTAATTGGTTACAGATCAATAAAAACAAGAACACTTCTATCCTTGGGCTTACAGTCTAAAAATACTTGACAGAGAGAAAAAATGCATTGACATAAAGGAATGGAAACCAAAACAACTAGTTTCAATTTCTAGAAAGAAAGAAGCCCAGGTGGGAACAGCAGACACATCTATTCTAGTTTTCACAAATAATTGCTATATAAACATATTTTCAATGCATCATTTTACAAAGTATATCTTACTTATTAAACAATGGGACAGGGAATTCCCTTAACTAAGACATTCTTCTGAAAAGGTAAAGTTTCATTCAAGACAAGCTCAACTCCTCTTGACTTTATAGACATATTTCTATTTTCTTGGTCATAAGAGGTGGGTTGCTAATGCCTTCTTCCAGAATGTTTTTCAAACTTTCCAGTCCCGCCATTAGCCCTGGAATTTCCTCAAAGTTTTCCCCATCATATTCTGATTACGTATGTAGGCTAAATCCTACTACTGGCTATTACATAGAATTCCACCAACACAGACCTAATTAACAGCTAGTATTTTTCCATGCTTATTTTTTGTAGAGAACAATGATTCCCAAGCTTATTGATACCTGATGCAGTGATTATACTGTATACAGTATATATATTGTGCATTAAAATGTTGTTCTATGCCTCATCTGGTTTGTTTAACAAATTGTAAAACTAATGAAAAGATGGACTTACTAGTAAAGAGTTATATTTCTGAATATAGATTTTTGAAAATGAATACTCATTAGCCATTGATTCTCTATCCCCAAATCAGACTCTTCTTGTGAAAAAAGTAATTATTTTTATTTGACACACCCCAAATAAAATCAATACTGGTTTACATTGGAGGAGCTGTCCATGGTCCTTATACATTTCTTTAAAAAAACTTAAAAATAACCCCTGAAAGTTCAATCAGCATGAATGGTTTTCTCTTTCAGAAAATTAATAGAAACTATATCATTTGTCTTATTGCCTTTTCAAAGTCTATATCAATAATTCCACTTGCAACCTATCTTTATCCATCATTATAAATACACTAAGCCTATTGTTCTGTTTTATAAATATGTCCGTAAATGACCTTTTTAAAAACAATATTCTAGAGGCATTGCCTTTTTGAAGGAACTACTGCAGAACTACAAATAGGTTTTGGGGGGAAAAAATCCTAAAAAAGAATATCTAGAATAAATCAAGAAAGCTATGTATGTTCACACTGAGTAACAACAATCCCATACCTTAGGTACCGGTAGTACTATGCATGGAAAATGAAGAAATGGCTAATACCAAAAGAAACTGAGATTAAAAAAAGACTATGTTCATGACTAAGCATTCTCATGTAATTCTTGAGAGGGAGAAAGAATATTGAAAGAAGAGGTGGATGACTGGAACATTGAACAGAAACATTTTATACTGTAACATTTTTCTACAAATCTCATTAATTTTCAAGTTAGTTCTAAATTTAGGAATGTTGCATAATTAAAAATAGAATTCTTTACATGGCCTGTTAAATTTTATTAATGACACCATAGGTATCTGTAAGAAACATGACAAAACATGCACAGTCATGATGCAAAATCCATCCATATGTAGCAACCAAAAGCTTAAGTAATGATATATGCTCATATGTGATCAGCTACAGTTTTGTTGCTTGTAAATCATATTATGCAAATAAAAAGCAGAGGCAAGAGACAACAAATATTCTTCAAAATATTTTATATACTTTTTCTTATAAGTCTTATAAACTCCACTCCACAATTGTTAAGTGAATCACAGCAGTTGTTAAGTTAGTTACATGTTTGTTAAGTGAATCTGGCTTCTCCATTGACTTTGTCGGATGGTCGCAAAATGTGATCACATGATCCCAGGATCATGTGACCATGGGGATCCTGCAATGGTTGTAAGTGTGAAAAATGGTCATAAATTACTTTTTTCAGTGATGCTGTAACTTTGAATGGTCACTAAATGAACTGTTTTAAGTTGAGGACTACCTGTAAATGATTTTCCACTTTATACTGACTATTCATAACTCACGACTCAAACAGAAAGCTAAAAGCTGCTGCTCTAGGACTAGAATAAACCTTAAAAAGACTTAAAGAATTTTCAAATTTGTAAACATGAATCATTCTGCTAAACTGAAAATCTCTGAAACAAAAAACCTGAAAATGTTTCTAACAAAGAAGAAGACATGAATTCAAACATTAGCTTTTATGAGCTTTTCCCAAATAAGCTCGACATATCAGAAACTAATGTGGCAGAATGTTAAAATATTGCCATATTCCACATTCCAGCAGATTTTAAACAGCCTATGTACTGAGTGACACACTTCCAAAAGTCAAGCATGATAATCCTTAAACTGAAAATGAAACAGTATTGCCAACCAAAGCTCCATATCCAGCATGTCTTTCTTATAAACTATGTCAAACATATTCACAATTATTCATACCGGAATGTAAATACAGCAAATAAATACTGTAAGTGCTACCAGCCAATATTTCCAAATATATTAGCTGAGTGGAAAAGAGCAACAGTGGTTTGTTTTTGGCAAGTACTTAAATCCAGTGAACCAGTCTGGTCTTGCCAATGCAGTGCTTTCAAAAGATTTTCGATTACAATTCCTTTCTGCAGTTCCCCCATCCCCAGACAACGGGGACAAGGATATTTATAGGTACAAAGGAAAATGTGACAATCCTAGACCAGACCAAATCCAAAAATGTCAGGGAATTTCTAGAAGCCTGGCACTCTGACAAATCAGCCATCAATAGACACATAGTCATTAACAACATCTATAGACTAGGCAAAAGTGATAATCAACCTGCCCAAAAAAGAAAAAGACTCCACTAGTAATCGGCACTGGGATCAGCATAGAATAGATAATTAACTCCAAGGTCAACTTCAGACCAACAATCAAATAAGCAAGCAATACCCCAAGCAAGAAACTGCCAAAGAGACATTAGTAAACAGCCCAAACAAAGAATCCCTAAAACCACCTCCTCCCACACAGGCAGGCAAGACACCAGAAGATAAAAGAGTCCCTTGGGAGTTGGGTGGCATAGAAATGCAATAAATTAAATTAAATTAAATTAAATTAAATTAAATTAAATTAAAATGACAGCAAACTAGCACTGATGATGTTTCCTAGTTAGGATAATGAAACGTCTGCAAGAAAACAAGCTCAGAGAGCACCAAGGACCCCAACACACACACCTGAAAATACCTATATCTACACCTACAGTCCCACATCTCTAGCCCAACAGTGCAAGTAGGTGTCCCAGGAATTAGAGGAAGAGCCTCCTTCCAAAGCACACCTAGTTCTTCACATACAGTAGTGCGAGCTGCCAGTTTATTGGCATGGAAAGCATGACCGAGCCTTTTCCGGAACAGAGAAGAGGAAGGGGACACGCAGAGCCGAACAAAGCCCCGCAGGCCCCAGCTCGGCACAGGGAAAAAAACCACCGGAAAGCCGGCCTATCCTCTTAGGGCCGGGCCGGGCTCCAGAACGAGGAACGAAACCGGGGGGGGGGGGGGCAGGGGCGCCAAGAAAAGGGCAGCGGGCTTAGCCGGGTCACGACCTCACTAAGGGAGCAGGGCAGAGGTGAACCAGAAAGCGGGGAAGAGGCCCCAGGGAGGCGAAGGTTGGAGCGGCAACTGAAGCGGAGCAGGGAGGCGGCGGCCCGCCAGAGGCCAGAGCAGCGACTCCGGCAACAGAGACAGAGAGAGAGAGAGAGAGAGAGACGGGGCCGGACGGAGCACTCACGCAGGAGGAGGCTGAAGGCCACAACCCCCAGGAGCCCCTGCAGGAAGATGCCGAAGCTGTCCATCAGCGCCCCGTTCTTGCAGCCGCGGTAGTCCGGCCCGGACCTCACCGTGGAGGCTGAGGAGGAAGCGCCGCCGTTCCGCCGAGGGTCCAGCTTGGGCGTGACAGCCACGGAGCCGTTGGGGGCAAGGGAGCCCCCCATGGCTCACTCGGCGCGGCGCGCGGCAGCTGCGCGCGCGGCGGCTGGGAAGCGAGACGTAAAAAGCCAGGCGCGCTCATATGCTCCGCGGCACTTCCTGGGCAGGCGGCGGGGGAGAGGGGGGGTGGTGGTGGTGGTGGTGGTGGAGGGGAGGGGAGGAGGAGTTCCCCGCGCGTCACGGCACCGCCGCCACATGACGTATCCCTATCAGGATTGGCTCGTTGGGAGGCTTTGGGGCGTGGCTAAAGGGGAGAAACCTGCCCGCGAGGGCGTCTTTTCTCCTGGCTCGCTGAGGAGGGCGGGCAGAGCTGCGGAGGTTAAAGCGTCTGCGGGGCTTCGCGCTTCGTTGAATGCGGAGTTTAAGGGGTGCCCGTGCTTGGTGCAGGAGAAGAGCCGGCCTTCGGCGGTGGCCGTGCTTCTGCGCTTGCGTGCCTTCGGTTCCTAACGGGTTTTCCTCCGAGCAAACCTTCCTTTGGCTTAGGGCGTTCGTGACCGGCGAAAAGACGGGACACCGTTAAGCCGCTGAGTCCCGGCACGCCAGTGCAGCTCTTCTTCTTCCTTCTTTTGAGGACACGGGTTCAAAAACCGGTCGGGAGAAGGCGGACCGCGGCGGAGCTCAAGAGTGGGAAACGGAATTTAATTACTGCTATGGGTGTTTAATGCTATGAATGCAATTCCACCTACGGATAAGGATTGGAAGCTCGGATTTTTATTTCGGATATTAGTTTTTTTTAGGGCAACGATTTCAGGTATATATTACGACCGGCTGTGCCTGTATTGACACGTATATATTTTGTATGGTTAACCGTGGAAACCTATACGTGTCTTTTCTGAAGACCCAATATATTCTGCATATTTTGCAGTCAATTCTAAGGTAATGCGTTTGCTTTCGTAAGTTCTAGGTACCAAGACGAGCTGCTAATGACCAATGCAATAACTCGGATATCAAGGATGGGCTTTTGTGTTAAGGAGCTAATATGTTTGTTTTTTTTCTTAAGTTCAGTCGTGTCAGATTTTCGAAAACTACCTGGACAAGTCCTTGCAGTTTTCTTGGCAAGGTTTGGCAAGAAGTGGTTTGCCCTTGTCTCCTTTCTAGAGCTGAGAGAAAATGACTGGCACAAGGTCACCCAGCTGGCTTTGTGCCAAGGTGGGGCTAGAACTCATTGCCATCTTGTTTCTACCTGGTGCCTTAACCATTACACCAAAGTGGCTCTCAAGCAAATATTAGCATATTCCAAAGTATATTTGTGCATACACATACACACACATTGTAATATATATAATAGTGGAATACTTAAACAGAGTTGAAAAGGTTGAGATATTTCTCCTTCCCTTTTTTAGGGCAAGAGAATTTCTAATATGGATTTCTAACAGAACAACCTCCAAGCTCTCCTGCTCTAAAAAAGGGAAGGAGAAATATCTCAACCTTTTCAACTCTGCTTAAGTATTCCACTATTGTATTTCTTTTCCTCACTCTGGTATTTTCAAGGCAATTTGTGTAGTCAAAGTATTTCTTGGTAGGCTTGAGGCTTCAGGGGCTAGGATCTGTGGAAAGCTCTCTCTCCTTAATTAATGTGGGCATCGCTTCAGAGATTTCCCCTTCAGAACCTCAGGCAAGCTATGGGGAAGCATTGTTAAATGTAGAAAGGTGCCTGCAACTGGTTATCTTTGCAGAAAGAGGAGCAGAAGTGTGTGAAGAATGGAGTAAGGAAATTCAGTAGAGTCCAAGATCACTTTTTATCTATAGATGACTTTGGTCCTCAAGATGCATGAAAGTGGCAGTGGAGACTATTTCAGCATCTTTGGCTAATGTATATGTTAATATTACAAGGAATCATGCAATACAGATTTTCAGAAAAAAAGTATCTGATACATTTAGGCAGGTTATAGTGGTCTAGTATTCAGTTTTTAGCTAATGTGAGAACATGCTGCATGGTTGCAAATGTCGATGAGCCATGGATTACAAGACTAACACATTAAAAATGGATTAGTCTTGGCAGGGACAGCACAATTTGAAAGATAATCTAGCCTTGTTAATACTTGGATGAATATTTCAGGCAATTCTAGGGTTCAGATGGAGAAGTCAAAAAACATTCCACAGAAGCATTATGGTAAATAATGAATGATCTGTATTATTATAGAAATAAAATTCCTCCTGTAGAAGACAAGAATACATGTGATAGTTCTGGACAAGTTGTAATTGACACTGAACAATGGCCACCCTTCCCTCCCCATAATAAGAGGATAATTTTGGAAGCAGTACTACAGGAGGCATTCAGTAATGTAGTTATAAAATAAATAAGCTGCAAAAATAAAGACAAGATCTAGCTTTAGATAGTTAGAACTCTCTGCTGTCCTTTGGTTTTTCTATCAGTCCCTTGGAGTTTTTCAACAAACTTAGATCAGAAATGATAGCTCTTTAATAGCTGATAATAGTATCCCAGAAGATTGCCTAAATGTAAACTACCAAATGTTGCTTTGAAACAAGATATCCTATTCTATTTTTGTCACTCATCTTGAGCACCAGATTCAGTACTGGGATTCCATTGTCAAATTCTGACATTTATTTTATTTATTTTTTTATTTTATTTTGAATTTGTATACCGCCCTTCTCCCTGAGGACTCAGGGCGGTGAACAGCCAAGTAAAAACATCAAGTACAAATATTAAAATACAGTTAAAATATACATATATAAATTTGGCCCCATTAATTAAAAACAATAAACAAAACACTTAAAAAACATATCCTTGGGCCAGTTGGGCTTTGCTGAACAGATACCCGAATCTACACCTCAATGAAATTATGCAGTTTTGAAGCCAGGATTAGCTTTCCAAAAGCTTTCAAATTTCAGATTTCTAAACCCAGAAATCTAGATGGGGAGGATTGTTCTATCAAACTTTGTTGAAATGTGATATTTATACTGAAAGCAACAATATTGGTTTTATTTCTCTTCTGAAATGTGGTGGTGGTCAAACTAAATAGGCAAAAGTTGATGCAAAAAGATGGTCCGTTGTACAAACTGAAGTTTGCTTGTGTGGATGAAGTCCTGATATATTTCAAATCTATATTGGGGTTGCAAGTAAAAGAAAATGTTTTTATATACAACCAATGCCTCAGTTTTAAATCAATCCCATTTATCTGAAGTTTCAAATGTCTAATGATTTCTTTTATAGGTTTGCACACTTCAAAACAGTGACTTGTTGCACTTTTATGTTTAACTGGATAAAAGCAACATATTGTCCTACATTACAAGTTGCTCAAAAGAATATTAGGATTAGAACCAACTTCTAGTGAGCAAGTGCTAATATGGAATACATAGAGCCTCTGCCCAGTGTTAATAGTTTTGAATGCAATAGAAAATATCCTCTCCACTTTTGTGACTATATCATTGCTCTTAATTTCTATATGATGTAACATTAATCCAAGTTTACTTCCACTGTTTTTCAGGAAAGAATATAGCATCACTACACTATTAGCACAGGGGAAAATTTTTGGAAAACTAGAACTTATTACCAGTGGTGGGATTCAAGTAATTTAACAACTGGTTCTCTGCCCTAATTATTTTTTCCAACAACCAGTTTGCCAAACTGCTCAGAAAGTTAACAACCGAAGTGGTGCGAACTGGCTGAATCCCACCACTGCTTATTACGATAGTATTAAAAAAAAGGTGTTAGCCTCCACAAATAGCATGTCTGTAAGTTTATGCTTTACTTGCTTTCAATGTGTTTGTTTTCTCCAGGAAAAAAAAGCACAACTGAACTTTGGGGGCCTTGAGTAGATTTATATAGGTAACTATAGGGTGTGTTTTAAGGCCTTGAATAGATTTATATAGATGACAAGGTGTGTTTTAAAAGGTGTAATGCACCTTGACACCAGGAGCCTGTTTTTTTGGATTGTGAGATATTTGTTCACTAGACTCTAGTGAACAATCAAGAGTGATTAGTAAAACAGACAATTGAGCACAATGTTGCCTCCAAACACAAGCTAACATATAATTGTTCCAAAGAAACTACAACCCCATCTTCATTTCGGATATCTTGATTAATAAAGATAGCTATTTTGTTGGGCGGGAGGGGGCAGGCAGATTATCGGCTATTTCACTTGCTTTCACTCACAGCGTTATCTTCAGTAAATGCAATTCTCCGATTAGCTTAAATAAATAATTTAGCACTGATGTGTGGGACTATCCTATAGAGCTGCTGTGTTATTGTAGTGGTTAATTGATATGTATGCCTTTGTGGAAAATCAATGTGTTTAGTTACAATGCAAGACTTTTTTCATTTTTAAATGCTTTCAAAAGCAGCATTGGACAACATAACAATCCCTTAAATCTCAAACCCGAGTTGCCCCCAAATATTTTTAAGCTTCAGTTTCTTCTGGGATAAAACAAAGAAAATCTGTTAGTGTAATTACTGTAATATCAGATGACAGTTTGAATTTCCAGTGTTTTAATGCAACAGCATTTCTCATTTGTGTTAGCTGATGGGAGAAATGATACTGCATCTAATTATTTCTAAGTGCTTAAACTTTAATGTGATAAAAGACTTATCTTACTTGTTTGTAACAGTGTGGTGCTATAAAATATAACCAGATTAAAAAGCAAGTGAGAGAGGAAAAAAGAGAAGGATGCCTAGAATTTGAAGGTTTTAATTTTGTATTATTTTTGGATACTGGAAAACATCAATATTAGGTTTTTTTTGAATGTGTGAGTATTTTTCAGCTAGAGAGGTATAAAATAAAAATATAGTTGAAGTATCCAAAATAGAAATGTTTCTTAGAAAATTGTTAAGATGACAATAGCCAATTAGCTCCAGGATTTGAAAACTGCAGGTTGTTTTTTTAAAAAAACCTATGTAAAATATTTAGAAATTCACATATACTGCTATGAATTTTCAAGTCTACTTTTTCTTTAGTAATGAAAGACTCCAAGCAGACAACAATATCAAAGGAAACTGGCACCAATTTAAGTATTTTTAATTTTCTTACAACCACTTAAAACGGTCATGAAGTACCACAAAATTATATACATTCATTTACAGAACAAGTCAAATAATCTAAAATATTTTAAAACCCTTTACCTGATGCACCTAGGCAA